AAACATGGAGTTGACTCCACGGAAGCACAAATAGCCCAACATCGTGCAGAGTTGGCTCGCACAAGGGAGTTTGTTTATAGTGATGACTCTCCTTATTGGACAAAATGGTACAAGTTGAAGGGCAAAGTTCGCTGGGTGTGGAATCAGCTCAAATTAAAAGGTTACTACATCGTTGCAGCTGAGATCGAAAGGTCAAGAGAAGTGTTTTGTAATCGTATAGAAGAAGAATCCAATTGTGAAGGCCTTTCTAGTGCCCGGAATGCGGCCGTGGAAGCGTTGAATAAATGGGAACAGGAAGATGATCGTACTGACTGGAATGAGGCCAAACCAAAGTACGATGCTGAACTAGCCAAGTGGAATGAGTTCAAACCCAAGGGAGAAGAATACGCAGAAGTGCTGGAGGAAAAAATATGTAAATGTGTGCGAACCTCTTTAACAGTGCACGCTACTGCACAGGATTATGAGATTAGTACGTTGAAGAACGAATTGAGCCAAAAGGGTCGAGAGGCTCAGCAAATTGGCGAGTTGCATGGGAGAACAAATGAACTAGATGCGACAGTTGAAGAAATGCGCACATGGATCCAGTCGCTAATCCACATGAATCAATCATTGATCAATGGGCAATGTAAACAGCTTGAAGAATTCGAGGCTTCCGCACGTACCACACTAGAACAAGAGTGGCAAATTTGGTTGGAAAGAACGACGTCAACGCACACAAATTTGGTAAATTGGATCCAGGAAAGAATTGCTGAAATGGCAGCATTGGAAAAAGAGGAAGCTGCCGCTCGTAATGACTATAAGCATGAATTTTATGATTCGATCAAAGAAATTGACAATCGACGCCTTGCGCTTAAGGAAATGTTGAGTGGGTCGATATTTGATTAGTTTTTCAATTTCTTAACCTTCACAGAATTATGTGTAAAAGCATCGGAATTACCGCAGTTTCCATACTTGACTTTCCCACAAAAAAATATCTATAGCATGATGTCCCCTATGTCGATATTATTCATGCTAGTGTCAAATTGAACAACAGGCACAGGCGCTAAATTGCCGAGAAAATAGGAAATGAGAATCGAATTACGAAATAACTACGATGATGCTGTCAAGTGTTATAAAACCGCTAAGAAAGCCGCAGTTTATGCTGTTCTGAAGAAAAAGAAAGAAAATAGACGGCGTTCTCGTGATGCTGCTGATATTTCTGGAATAAATACAACGAAACTATCACTGCTGCTGATGTACTCTCTGTGTGTTTAGCACTGTGGTGGGGACCCTTCCAGAGAGTGTTGGTAATCACTTGTTTACTGCTAATAATAATATATTTGCTACTGTGTTTTGTACACTGAGCACTGAGAAAATGAATCCTGATGACACCCACTGTACGGAGGTGCATCACTTTTTTGTGTGGGAATACCTAATCTCTTTTCATTTTTATACTTGTAAGCAGAGCATTGCTGTGCACCTCGTGGTGTGTCTCACTCTGCAATT